GGCCATTGCCTGCAGTTGCCTTCACCAGCAAATCACTGCCTATTAGGATTACCAAGAAACCCTCAGGTTCCTTGTTGAATGCTAGCGCCATGGCTAAAGAACTGTATTTCAACCATGATGGTTCAGCCACCAAAAAACTCCTGGTACTTTTGCATAGAAATTTGGGGGCATTTGTTATTTAACCACCTGTGCAAATTTTATAAATAGATGGTTGAATTCAGTATCTTTTTTGTGCTTTATTTGTTTGAATTTTGTATAAGATATAAAATGCTCAAGCTTTATATTAGTAAATTCATATGTGAGATAAACTTTGATAATGTTTGGTTGGTTGGGATATTTTGGTGTAGGCAGGGGTTAATAAGGTAGCACAGCTGATTGGTGTTACTTTGGGTCCAAAGGGAAGGAATGTGGTATTGCAAAACAAGTACGGACCTCCCAAGATTGTCAATGATGGTGAAACTGTTCTTAAAGAGGTGCCAGCATACTTCTTTTCTTATCTAGCCTTTGTTTGAGCCACATTATTTTGATAGAAATGCATTTTTGAATATCGTATTGAAGGAAAATGTGTGGTTAAAAAATAAGAAAAAGTTTTGGATTTGTTTGTAATATTATTTTATTGAAAAATGTGCGGTTGAAATAATGTCAAATCACTGTTTAAATTTTTATTTATTTATTTATTTATTTTTTTGAAAGAATGTGACTCAAACAGGGAGCTAATATTTACCTCTGGGTAGTGGTATAATTTTTCCCATAAGATTGGATGTTGAAGAACACAAAATTATGTAAAAGATACAAAGAGGGATGGCTTTAAGCCCCATCCGCCCTGGAATTTTGTAGCTGCAGACTGGTGAGACGTGTGTTTTGCAATGAAAAACCTGTGGGCCATTGTACTTGAATTTAAGTTTTTCAACCTCGTGATGAGAGAGATTGATTCCCAACTAAGATAATGCGTTTCTTGGTGAAAATGATCTTTTTGTATGGAAGTTTATCTTTAAAGGACTTGTGATTTGGGTTTTCTTGCTAAATAATCTGTTGATACACATGTTTATCGGGATCTTAGTCCTAAGTACTTGTACAGGTTGGGGGTTTTCTTCTTGTTTGAAGGATGTCTGTTAAGGACAATTTTTGAAGTTTTTTAGTTGGGAGAAACCAAATAAAAAATAAAGTAAAAATATATATTCTCAGAAGTTTGTAACAAGTGTCTTCTTAATGAATATACTTCACATTTTTGTAGTCTATCTATATTCTCCCATTCCCATTATGTAGTTCAGATTGTGTAGTGTCGTTATAGTCTCAAACTTTAGAAATGTGGATGTAGCTAGTGATGCAGATATAAAAAGGCAGAAATCTGATCATTGTAATTCTTTTTCCAACAGCAATTGTTTTTTGAATTCTAAGCTTACTTCTTTGAGAGTGCAATCAATCAATCATATAAGTTATATGGTTCGATGGAAAAATAATCAATAGAGGCAGAATTCATCTTCTTGTTTTCATTTCTCTGTTTCTTTTTATGGCATAAGTATGTTATGGTTAATAGTAAAGATTGAGCTGGAGGATCCTCTTGAAAATGTGGGAGTAAAATTGGTGAGGCAAGCTGGGGCAAAAACAAATGATCTTGCTGGCGATGGTTGCACTACCTCCATAGTGCTAGCTCAGGGTCTTATTGCTGAAGGCATAAAGGTATAAAATTTTTAACTCTCTGTCTTGAAGATGTGGTCATGGTTGATATACTGATGATAATTTAGCTAACAAATATATTTTCTAACTGCTATTTTTAAAGATTGGGTCAATTTTCAGTATTTTTTGAACGCATGTTATTGAAAGCTTCCAAACGAAGATATTTGCTCGTTTATAGGTTACTGCAGCAGGAATGAACCCAATTCAGATCTCGCATGGGATTGAGAAAACCGCTAAAGCCCTCATTTCTGAACTAAAATTAATGTCCAAAGAGGTATATGGAAATGGTCGTTCAATTCTTTTGCATTTGGCAGCACAACAACGAACATAACTCCTAATATTAAGATCAAAAATATCTGTTACATTGTAGGTTGAGGATCATGAACTTGCAGATGTTGCTGCTGTTAGCGCAGGAAATGACTATGCTGTGGGGGATATGATTTCCGATGCTCTCCGACAAGTAGGAAGAATGGGTGTTGTCACAATTGAGAAAGGGAATTATGCTGAAAACAGTTTACGAATTGTTGAAGGAATGCAGTTTGATCGTGGATATTTGTCTCCTTATTTTGTCACTGACCGTCAAAAGATGACAGTAGAGTTTTATGATTGCAAAGTATGGATGTCATTTATTATTTAATTCCGCCAAATTTTCATATCGAGTAAGAAGAGAATTAAAACTCTTTGAATGCAGTTGCTATTGGTTGACAAAAAAATCTCAAATCCAAGGGAGTTGTTTAAGATATTGGAGAATGCTGCCAAAGATAAGTACCCCATTTTGATAGTTGCAGAGGGCATCGAGCAGGAAGCTCTGGCTCCGATAATTAGGAACAAATTGAGGGGCGTATTGAAGGTAGCTGCGATTAAAGCTCCTGCATTTGGTGAGCGCAAAAGCCACTATTTGGATGACATTGCCATCTTGACAGGAGGTAGTGAAACAAATATACCAAGCGAAAAATTAGTGAATTGACTTCTCACAAACAATTCATTTTCTAACTATGTAGTGACTCCAGATTTTGAGAGTGTCAGAAATATTACGATAATATTCATCCCCAACTTTGATACTTCATAATGTTGCAGTAAATTTTTTTGAAAATTCGGAAAATGGTTTTGAAATTATTGTACGAGCAAATATGGAGAAACTATATTTTGATTCAAACGTAATGTATGCTTAATATTTGTTTCTAATTTAAAATCTTGTTAGTGTATACTTCATAACCTTACGAGCTGAATTTATCACGTGTTTGCAGGAACTGTTATCCGGGATGACATGGGATTGACACTTGAAAAGGTTCACAAAGATATGTTGGGGTCAGCTTCTAAAGTTGTAGTAACTAAGGATTCTACATTAATGGTTACAGATGGGCGTACACAAGAAGCTGTTAAAGTAAGAGTTTCTCAGATCCAAAGGCTTGTAGAGGTGTGTCGACCATTCTCTAATGTCCTCAAAGCCACTAATCCAATGACCTATTGTGAGACTATCCATCACTTACGGAAGTGCAAATGCTAACGATTTCCTTGAAATCATTCCATGATTTTGACATATATCCCTTTACTTTCTAACCTTCTGAAGATTAACCAAGCTCCCACTTTTGCAGAACACTGACGAAAAATTTCAAAAGAAAATACTGAATGAACGTATAGCCAGATTATCAGGTGGGATAGCAATTCTTCAGGTAATCTGAAATCCATTGACATTTGAATCTTGAGGGTCCGGTTTTGGAAATTAAGTTATGCTTTGGTGCACTTTATTCTATCAATCAAATCACAGGTGGGAGCACAAACACAGATCGAGTTGAAGGATAAACTACTAAGAGTTGAAGACGCTCTAAATGCAACCAAGGTAGTTTAGTTGCTTTTTAATTTCTTAATGGCTACCAAGTAGTTCCAATAATGGTAAGTTTCTAGGTTTTCATTACCAGGCAGCAATTGAGGAAGGAATAGTAGTTGGCGGTGGTTGTTGCCTCCTCAGGCTTTCTACAAAGGTTGATAGTATCAGAGAACATTTGGACAATGACGAGCAAAAAGTACTACCTCTACCCCTCTCTTTTATTCGACAACTTAAATTGTCCTGCTATAAATTGAGGATGCGTACATGCTATAATGAGTCGCGATATATATTTGGAGTTATAATTTTGACTTTATGGCTTTCTAAATGTGCATACAGATAGGAGCAGACATTTTAAAAAGAGCCTTGGCCTATCCTGCAAGACAGATAGCCAAAAATGCTGGTGTAAATGGAAACACTGTCATACAGGAGGTATCTTTGCATCAATGTTTTGTTTTTTCATTATATCATGTAGAGAAATATGAATCTTCAGTATTTTTGAACTGATATTGTTGACTTGACTGAGTTAGAAATCAAACTTTATCAGTTAACCTCTTAGAAACTTCAACTTGCAGGTTCTGTCATCAGACGACATAAGGTATGGATACAATGCTGCAAAAAATAGATATGAGGATTTGATGGCTGCTAGAATACTGGATCCTTCGAAGGTAAATTCAAGAATCAACTATATAATTGTGCTAAAATGTAAAACTTTCACTGTATTCCAAGGCCAAGTGGCTAACATTCAATCTCGAAGCAGGTTGTTAGATGTTGCTTGGAGCATGCGACATCTGTTGCCAAGACCTTTTTGACATCTGATGCAGTAGTTGTTGAAATTAAGGAACCTGCACCTAAACGTATAAGAAAACCAATGCCAACCTCAGGTAATTCGTTCATTTTGCATGTTTTGTATGCATCTCGTTGCGCTTTACTCTCTTGTGTCACAGTACTTACTGAAAGCCATCCAATGTATAATGGTGGCAAATCTTAATTTCTTGATTGTGCAGGTATTGGACCAATTGGCATTTAATTTACAAATACGTATAAAGCTACAATAATCTGGCTTCCTGGTGTACATCTTCAACCATTTCTATCTACAGACACATGCAAAAAATATGATCAGATAAGACTCAGCAATGTTACTGATGCCAGTAAAATTACAATATTCCTGACGGAGCTTTCACCAAATGTTCAAGTTCATTGGTCCAAGGTAGGTAAAACAAAACAGAATGTTCTGTCCATCGAGTGGACATACAGAAAGGTACCTGGCAGTAGTTGGAAGCAAACATACACAGCGACTGAATATTATAAATTCTCTGTACAGCAAATTGCATTAGCACTGCTATTGGATGAAAAGTAGCCTGTGGTAAGTTTTTTATGTAATCTTCGTCGAAAATTAAAGGCTGGGATTGGTGAAAAGTTTCAATCGAGTCACCTGCATTCTTGATACAGATGTTGAAAGGATATCTTAAATGTGTTGAGCTGTTCAAGGCTGAATTAAGGACTATGTAATAGTGAACAAATAATTTTCCCATTAGAATTCACATACTCGTTAGACTGCAAAGAAAATGAAGTTTGTAAAAAGGGAATTCTCTGACATGTACGAGTTCTGTTAGGTTGGACTGGGACCCTATTAGAGTAGATGATTAAACATGGTGGGTCCCGACCAACATGTCTATTTCATGTTGATCCCTCAACTTTAATTTGTTTCAACTAGATCACATAACTTATATTTTATGTTAGAATGTGTGAAAAATAGGAAATTTTAGGATTTATGTAATATTTTATTGTATGAATGTGTGACTGAAAATGAGTTCTGGAGAAAAAATCCATCAAACAAGGGCGAATTTGAAAATATGTTTGCAATCATTTGGATCAAATTTCAAAATAAATGATCAATATAAAAGCAATCGGGACTCGTCTTATCATAATAAGCTATTCGGTTAACCAGCCCATTGAGTGGCAGGTTTCTTTAATTTTTTCTTTTCTTTTGGGAAATTAAAGGGGAATTGTTAGGTTCTATAACCGGACAATGCTGAGTGATTAATTGTCGTTAATGTTGATGATTTATGGTTTAATTTCTTATAAATTTTGTTTGTTAGGTAAAACTTAAGAAAAATTGGGTGAATTGGAAGAAGGGAAGGAAAAGGGGGGGGAAATGTAAAAAATTTGAAGTTCAAGAATCAAAATGAATATTCAATAGTTGGTTCGGACCATAAAATGACGATTAAAGATATATATGATCAATTGGATGCAAATGGAGGTCAAATAAGTGAAATATAGTTAAAAATATTATCTCAAATCAATTTCTAGTCAAAAAATTATGCTTCAAGTTTTCAACCTCATATTAGACTCATTTTTCGAGTATTAAACGTTGAAACTAGAAATCTTTTTTACTTCTATAAGAATTGTAGCCTTTTGAGTTTATCTTTTCAATGCATTTTGAATTACTCCAATCGAATATAGAGATGGAAAGTTATGACAAAACTACTAAAGGCTACTCAAGGACAATGGGAC